CACCACAAAATGTTGATCTCTCTAGGAACCTTTGACCGCCTTTCGGCAGGGACAAGGGCAGTTAATGGTTGACCCATTGCCTGCCCTTGGCTTTTGGTTGCGACGGTTGTTGAACTTGGGTAATTTCATGTCAATGGCCATAAATATCTTGAGAGGTTGATGGCGAGGAGAGAGAAAAGTTGTCGACGACAGGTTTCCTGGAAAGGGAGCAGAGGCACACGGCTGGAACCGCTTTTGTCCGAGGGGCTTGGATCAACGATGTGCTGCGGATGTCCGCAGGTATATAAAAGAAATCCGGCAGACAGAAGAGGCTCTCCAAAGAGTCATAAACGAGAAGGACGTGGCAGCTTCAGTTTGCCTCCATCGTCAGCGTGTCTAAGCTCCCTTCCAATGTGGACCAGAGTCTTCACTGCGGCAAGTCGTTCTTGTCAGCCTGCAGCAGCATGTCACCTAGAATGCGTGTGTGTTCTGGACAGGAGTTTTCGCAAAAAGAGTTGGCCGCCAAGAGCGTGTCCCTGAATCAGTTGAACGAGCAGAACACGTCGGCTGTCCGCGAGTCCATCGTGATGCAGGCAACTCTTGGCCATGCTTCTGCGGGACTCATGCTTCTGACATCTGGTGCAGGAGCGCACAGCCGCAGAAGAGCAGCAGCTGAGAAAGGTATCCAGCTCTGTCTGAAGTTGGTACTGCTCTATGAGCAATGTCACTGACATTAAGTTCGTGCTGAACTCTGCTCAACGTGCTAGGAATTGCGGGAACTCCAAGTGGAAAAGAAAGACCTTCAGGACAGCAGCTCCATGCTGACTCCTCACATCCTTTTCTGCCTGCTGACAGGACAAGTTGGCTCTGAATGTCAAGGACTTGGAGCTCCTGGAACAGGACTCTCAGGGCTGAGGGCTTGGCCGCACCAGGTCGGTCTAACATCGACGTGGAGCTCAGGTTTCTGCAGTCCAAGCCAGTGTTCAAGTACGAGATATTTCCTCATGGGAGCATGATCAATATACTACTGTGACCTTAAAAACATCCAGTTCTCTTGTCATCAAACCATTTCAGCAGCAGGCCTGAAACAGCCACAAAATACAACTACATGTAGTCACAACCGGCAGGAATACTTCCCTTACCAGATCTGTTGTCGAGCTTGAATTTGCTTTGCAATAAAAGCAAGGGCCAGCAAATTAATTGGTGACTCAGGAATTGGATGGTTGTGAGTCTAAAGTTGGACCAATTTGGAGCTTTGCAAAACAGACTCTCCGAACTGCCCATCAGACAGAAGTTGGGGTCTTAGGATTTTGGTGGGTGTTGGGGTTAAGAGGGATCAGGGTTTGGAGGGATCAAGGTTTCGGGTTGACGGTGTTGGCCTTGGGTCTTAGGGTTTAGTTTAGAGGAGGGGGTGTAGGGTAGTGGTCTTGGGGTTTAGGGGGCTTAAGGGTTTAGGGTGTGGGGTTCGCGTCTTAGGGCGCGGCAGGCGGGGGCCTGGAGTGGCATGGAGGGGTGTGATCCGATTTGTTGTGTGTTGTTTCCCCTGATTGCGCCGCCTCTGCGTCCGGAGGATTTAACATCCTGCACCAAGCAACTTTGCACCATGTTGTTGAAGAATCGATCGAAGCTGGGAAGTGTAGAGACTCCCACCCTTTCAACAAATTTTCATATCACAGGCTAATTGCCAGGAAATCCGTCATGACATACAGGTGTTTACAGGGACTTTTTGACGACAACGCTCGCCTTCGAGGCTGTCCGCATGCATTGCGCACTTGCCTAAAAGATGTTGGATGGGTAGGGGTAAAGGAACCTCCGAGCTAAAAGAAACTGTTGGTTCGGTAAGCCCTGAAAGAAGCCCGGCCTTAAACCTTGGAACACTCCCCACCACAAAAGAGCATGTGGAGGACCTTGGAAATGACCTCGACCCTGAAAAATGAGATCGGTGGCAACCATACTCCTCAAACCACATGTCGGGTGGGCAGCCCAAACTTAAAGCAGCCTTAGCACACCCCAAACAAGATGTTGGGCAACCTTAAGCCGTAAGGAAGCCCCAACCTGGACCCGAAGCAAGCCGAATTCTGAAACGATTGCTGAGGTTGCAGCAAGAACGGAAGGATGCAAGTGATGTAAATCTAGGGGTTTGGACAAATGGTGATCCAAAAACCTCGAGAACATCAACAATCAAAGCAACAGTCATAGGACTAATATGACCCATGCAAACCCCAAACCAGAAGTCTTGACTTGCGCGTAAATCTTTCACAAGCAAAAACTCGACACCTCAACGCCTCGCTTCTTAAAGCTATCAAACTCAAGCTCACCGAAATCCCATTACGCTTTTAACCCCAGAGCTGGCAATCTTCGACCCAAAGCCGTGCTAGACTCCAGTAGACTCTGAACGTGAGCATGGAGGCTGTTTGACCCAAGACACCCTAAGGTCCATGCCTGAGACCTTCTAACCTTCAAGTTGTTCATCTTGAAGCTTTAACTGGGTTGCTGTTGAGACATTCTAATATGGATGTATAGTAAATAACAGGGTCAGCAACCCAGTCAATTGCAGTGCTAGACCATGGAGCTCCAAACCCCGTACAGACGGAGCCCGTTGAAAACCTGATCAACTGAAAGGTGCGCAGTTGATGCCATAAAGCCAACAACCACCAAATCCTGGAACCCGGAACACGAATCCCAAACCTGAAAGCCCTGTAACCCCAAAGCCGGATCTGGCGCTCTGGCGCAATCTCTAGGCCCTAGATCCGAATTGGTAGTTTCCTAAAATAGGG